CGCAGGAGCATTTTAACAATAGATACTAAGCAGAAGTTGAGTGATTTATTCATTTGGATCTCCATTAGTCGCTATCCAGGGTCCACTCACACATCAGAAAAAGATGGATGGCACCATAGTTGCCGCTAAAGTGCGGCCAAAATATTTAGAGCTCCCCCTACTGACTGGTTGCAGTAAGGGTCATAAGTCCTGCTTCCTCCATGTCTACAGATGGGACAGGGGTGAACTACAAAACCAAAATACATACCAAATACATTTTCCTTGAACATAGTTTCTAACCTCATGGTTGGTTCTTATCATGATGATTTATGTCCAAGAATTTACTTTTTTGAGAAGTTTAGTCTTAATTAGTTATTTCATGCTATAACAAGGGATTTAACGCCATGATTGACAGTTGTGTTTTCAAATGCTCCCATGGCATTCTGCATCGATTAGCACAGCAGTGGAGGAGCGGCGCAATGAAAAATAAACACTAACAGAAACTTCACTGATTTTTCCATAACCTCGAGTATCTGCTTCTAACAGACATAAGAACCGGGTCTGCTGTGGACTGGGCCGACCAAAGGGATCTTTTTAATTGTATCAGTAATTTAAATGTGTTCAGTTCACCCCTAATTGCTCCCACTGCTTTTTCAGCGCAATTGAATGTATATGAATGGTATTAGTTAATACTGAAGGACACTTTAAATAGCAGCGTCAGTGTGTGAATGGGTAGGTGTGACATGCGTTGTAAAAGTGCTTTTAAAAAGTCTGAAGATTGGAAAAGCACTCTACAAGCTCAAGTCCATTTACCATTTTCTGCAGAGGGCAAAGACATTATCCATCTTTATAAACAGTACAGTCAATGGGTCAACACAAGGAAACATTACATCACAATTTGCAGCGGTTATTATGTAATTAAAGATGGAAGTCAGTCCAAGGTGATCATTTTGTGATGAAATGTACCTGCATTTTGAGAGCAATAACCCCTCAGCTGTGGTTTTAGGAGCAAGTCTGGAAAATATGTCATTACAACTTTGGGCTTTTTAAAAAAATGTAACCTTTATTTATCAAGGTTAGTCCCATTTAGATCAGAAGTCTCTTTTTCAAGAAAGACCTGACCAAGAACAGCAGCAACACACAGCAACAAAACCACTCAAAGTCTTACAGCACACATTTCAAATAAGAAAATCATCGGCTGAAATGTTTTCATACAGAAAGTATGGATTCAAGACTTCTCACCTAGGGTTTAAATATCACAGTGCCTTGCTCAATAGTTTAAACCTCTTGGATTTTCACAAATCAATGAACAAACAAAAGCAGTCCAAAAACCCTGAGGTCCAATGCCAATCTAGATACCAAGATACGATAATCCGTCATTTGCATAGGTAACGAAACAAAGAGCACCAGTAGATGCACTCATCAGATGCTGTGGTTTATAATGAATTCCCCAAACAAATTATTAGTTTTGGGTCAATTATTGTAAAGAAATATACAATATTCTGCTATTAGAAAGTGTTATGACTGACAAAGCTGGCTTATATCAGCCATTTTCTACAACTTCTATGGATATGTTTTATGCAACAGTATCAAAGGGCTTCTTGCCGTTGGCCAATACTCAAGTCTATGTATTGGAATTGACAAAAGAAGAAAAAAAAACGTGGTATTGGAACATCTCTACCTGAAGGCAGCTGGTGGCAACTGATTTACTATAAGTCACAGCATAGAAAGTTGTATTTGTATTACGTTCTACAACTACATAATACTGCTGTCCTGCTTCAAAATAGTTGAACTTTATGTATTAGTCATAGTCCATCCATCCATTTCATACCATATTACAACTCTTATTTATGTGCACTTCTAGCATGAAATGTTTTAGGAGGTTGAAATTGTGCGCAAGACACATTAGTATGAAGCTCACATCATGGCTCGGCATAGTTAATCCAGTTTTGTCTTCAAGTCAAACACAAAATATGAAATTGTAGCTGACGGTTAAGGGACATTATTGCACTGACAAGTCGAATTATTTCCTGAGAAAATTGTTTTTTTTTCCTTCTCATGTCATTTGACCTTGAGGAAGTCTTTTTACCCTCTTACGAAAGCTCAATCAGAACCCTATCTGCTATATGTGTTTTTCTAAATTGGTGTCAAATTGTCTTGACAGTATGAAGGAAGCATAGCAAGTGTGTCCTCCTGCACACACACTAGTCCCTTTTACTGTGGATGTGTGTGTGTGTGTGTGTCTATCTGATGTCCAGGGAGGGAATCTGCTCACAAGAAGAAGAAAAAACCACGGGCTTTATTCCCAACCCCCTGCGGAAAAGAATTCTCCCCAATTTCAAAAACTCTTGAGAGAAGACTGGCCTTCCAAAAACAAAAAAGCCCTCCTTTTTTTTTTGGATCAATCTGTGACGGATTTGGCATTTTTTTTGGCAGACACATTTGTTTTGTTTCTGCATTTCTCCAGCCTTCCTTCCTTCTTCTTCTCCTCCTCCTCTCAGGAGCACTCCTCCTCCTCCTCTGATGCTCGCATGTAAACAGAATTTTTAATTAGAATCATATCTTCCGTTTGTGTAATTTGCTATCAGCGGAGAAGCCGGTGTACGATTCCCATGTTTGCACAGGGCAACAATTTGCCTCCCTGTTGACCCGGCCCACTCGTCTCTCGCCCTCTCTGTGTGTGTTGGAGAACCTGCCCCGCCTCCTGCCTGCATCCTTTCATTTCAGTTCCATTGTCAGGAGGTGCTGAATAGAGCTGAAGAGAATGCCCATGTGCAAGACAGTTACACTGTTTAGAGCTGCAGCAAAGAACTTTCATCAGTTTTATGAAGCAATTAGACTTTTATTTTATGATAAATTGATCGTTTGCTTCTTGTGCAAAATGTCAGAAAATAGTGAAAAATAACTCACAGAGGGGAAATAAATATATTTGCAATGATTAAAGGAGGAGAAACACATCGATATGACCACAAATTTTAGGAGATGGGATCGATAATTGTATTAACGACTCACTTGTTGCAATAACTTACTGTTTGCCTTATGTAAGCCTCTTATTTACATCATTTTTCACTCATTTCTTCGTCTGTCTGGTTTTTTTTGCTCTCATGACTCCTCCGCAAGCTCGCACTGAACTTAGCACTTTCAAATCTTGAACCATGGATTTCTGCAGGTTAATTCTGCGTATCTTTTCCTCACCGTGTATATACGTCTTTTAACTTTTACCGCTCATAGCAGCTCCCCTGTTTTGTTTTTTTCTTCTTCCTCCGCTGCCTACAGAACAAGCAGATGTTGCAGCTGCCAGGTACCTTGAACACAACACCTTCTGGGAACCGAGAGCCCGACACTGAGAGGGAGGCGAAAAAAGCTCTCATACATTTCATATACAGCTGAATTATTTTTGTTTATCAGACAAACAGGCATGTGTTTAAATACAACATGCTGTTTGACATTATTTCTATAAATGCTGAAAAGCTGCTTGATAAAGAGAAAGAGACAGAGATACATGGCTGTTTCTTTGCCTGCTTGGCACACTTCTGTAGCACTGAGAGGCCTCCCACAGCTAAAAAAAAAAAAAAAAAACACACTCCTCCTTCCCGGCTCACCCTTTCCTCTCTTTCCCCCCCATCTCTCCCTTCCTCTCCTTCTGCTTATCTCCTCGCACTGCCGACACATTCGTCAAGTGGTGTGACTTCTCATTCATGCAATCCTTATTGAAATCGAAGAAGCAATCCATTGTTGACAAAGAGATGCGACGGAACAAAGATTTCAGACTTAAACTATAGATCACTCCACCCTCTCTGTCTCTGTCTCTCCTCCCTGTCCCTATAACACTGCCCCTTAGTTCAGACTGTGTGTATGTTTGTGTGTGTGTGTGTGTCAGATGGACATGTGTGAAAGTCCCCTTTATGTGCACTTTCTATGTGTGTAAGAGTGTGTGTAGCAGAGATGCAGTCGGCTGCTAAGTTGGATAGAGGCGGTTATGACTGGAGCTGGATTGACTGGCAAGCAGCTCGACTGCTTGACTGCTGCTGGGAATACTAACATGGCACACACACACACACACACACACACACACACACACACACACACACACACACACACATCTATTTCCTTCACCTACAAACTCATAGACGGACAAAAAATGTACATTTAAACCCACAAAAAGCCCCTAACCTCTCTGTAACATCCATCTATCAGTGTCTCAACACTTTGAATGATTCACACTGAAAGGTGCCAAAGCACAGACTTCTTCAATCAAAGATGCACCCATTCAGACACACACTCTATCATACACACTCTTTTAACACACACACACACACACACACACACACACACACATACACACAGCAGGAGGAACTTACAGACAGAAGAAAAGAAGATTTTCACTCTAAACCTCTGTAACTGGAGGACTGGAGGGTTCAGTCCAATACCGAGGCAGGGCTACACATTAAACATGCATGTGAAGGGGCCTATATAGGTTCAGCAGAAGAAGCTCAGCTGCAGATCAATGTGAACACCAGACTTCACTGGAGGAGGACAGTTAGAGTGCAATTTAAAAATCAGAGACACTTAAGAGTCTTCTGCGAGACCAATTATCCTTTCTTTTTCTTTTTATGTTCCAAATGTCCTTATTTGAGCCTTTTCTAAAGAAAAAAGAGTGAAGAGTAATTGCTCAAATTACCCTGGCTAAATGTACCTGTGCTTACCGGGGTTCCTTTGCCTTTAGCTAGACTTAAATTCTGCCAGTTGAGAAGAGTTTTTGTAGCAGCTCAAACACCAAAATCCTCGCCACAGGCCAAAGGGTCAGCCAGCGGTTCATCTGCAAGAGTCAACTCTGTGATAAAGGCCCAAATGAGAAAATGTTGCACCACAGGCTGCTGCTCATTGAAGTGCAAAGTGTGCAAAGCCCCCCCCCAAAAAAAACAATCAAACACAGCCTTCAGTGTTTCATGATTTTTGTGTTTCTTCCAAGAATGTGCTGCTACAGGTGCACGGAGAAGACACACAGAATCCTCACATACCTTAGTCACCAGAGGCTCTGTGTCCTCCAGGATGGAGATGAAAGGGATTTCCAGAAAAGACGAGATGAACTCCACTTGGATCAGCTCCTCCCTGGAGCGCGGGAAGGCGAGCACCGCGGACACCCCTCTGACCACCAGGTCCTGGCAGGCGCTCCGGGACAACGACTCGGGGTCTCCTCCCGAGGGCGACCGAGCCACCATCTCCAGGCTCAGGTTGAAGGGCAGCAGAGGGGGTGTCTGGGAGGAGGAGGTGGTGGTTGAGGAGTCCGCTCCTCCGCTCTGGTGCCGGAGGCTAGCCAGGGCGCGGTTGAGCGCGTTTTGTATCCGTGCCGGCTGTCGGGTCGGCAAGAGTGCGCCGAGACGCACGGTGTGTCCGATCCGGGCGAGGATGTGGCAGTGCTGCGGGTGCGGGAAGCAGGACTCCGGGGAGGAGGAGAAGACGGCAAAAAGAAGAAGCAGCAGGATCGATCTGGCAGAGAGGAAGAGGAGATGAGGTCTCCCCGGGGCGAGGCAGTAGGTCCAGAGTCCGGGGAGAGACACCATGCTGCAGCTCCGACACACAACAGAGGAGGACTGGGCTCTGCTCGGCGGGAGATGGCATAGCTCCCTCTTTTCTCCCGGCTCCACCGCTTTTCCTCGGACTTGATGGTTCTTCTTCTTTTTTTTTTTTCTTGCCCTGTTCTTCTTTCGCTGTCGACGGTGATTTTGTCGGCGTTTTGACGTCTTGCCTTTCACCTCTTCAAAGTTTCTATGTCAACAGTGAAAGACGCGCTGGTGGAGGCAGAGGAGAGATGAGCGCGCACAGCTTAGAGCGGTCGCCCCGCTTCTGTCAGTCTCTGCTGGAGGAAGGCACACACCAGCTGTGAAGTGTGAGTGTGAGGGAGTGTGTGTGTGTGTGTGTGTGTGTGTGTGTGTGTGTGTGTGTGTGTGAGAGAGTGAGTGAGTGTGAGTGTGTGTGTGTCTCGGCGCGTGTGTGTGGGTCCATGCGCCTGCCGGCCAATAATCTAACCTCTCACGGAGCCTGCCTCTTGTTGAATCTTAATGAAAATTCGTCGGTAACATTTCCTTCCGCTTCATCTGGTCCCAGACAGAATTTGCACTTCATGTTTTCATTCAGAATTTTAAAAAAAAACGGCAAGATATCAAACATGTTTCTTTCTAATTATTTTACAAATCTTACTCAAAGGCATTCAACCACAAGAAGAAATGACTTCCATTTGTTCATCTGCCTTTTAGTTGAGGAAAACCTCACTTACCTCAACATTTTCACTTTAAACATCTCAGAAATCTGTCCCCAAACACTCACATCCTCACATTAGGACCATAAGAAGCATTAAAGAGCTTTAACTTCCCAAAAGATTGATTCCTATTAAAAAAAAGAGGGAGAAAATTGGATGCTTTTTCAAGATTAAACCCTGTTATTAATGGTGGCCATTTGTTTTGTGAGGTAATAGGGGAACTTTTTAAGCACCTCTGCAGCTCTGCTGCATGTCCCCGCCAGGTTGGCCAACACAAAGCTAATAGCTTGCTGAAATCTCAATTTCCCCCCCCCCAAGATTTATTCCCCACTTCCTCCCTGCCGTCCAAGTCGAACATTATCCGTTGTGTAACCACATCTTTTTCAGCACCACGGACAGCGCCAGTGCCATAAAAGAGATCTACTGTGCATGCTAATTTGGCTTCATGCGAGGGACAGCACTCAGTCTGGCCTTCATTCATTCTGCACTCAGTTTTCTCTGCCTTCTCTGATCTAATTTGCTATCGATAGAGCAGAACATCCAGTAAATCATTCTTTTCAGCCCAAGTGAAATCCTGTTCTCAGGGTCCCCACACTCTCTTTTGCTGATAATTCCTTGTTTGTCAGACATTTGTGAAGCTTCAAACGTCTATCTTCCCTCTGTTTTTCCCTCTGTGCGTTTCGTTTTCTTTTTCTTCTGGCACTCTGCGGCTTTGGCGTGGGGTGATGCTCGAGGGCCATTTCAGCGTGCGGTCTGACATGAAAAGGTTGCTTTGACGTACAGATAGATGTTTCACTGCCACTCACACACACACGCGCACACCGGCATCAACAAGTCATTTCACAGCCTGCTGGGTGACCCGGTGTGATACCAGTGCAGTTTACTGACAAATCTGATACCATGGGGCAAAAAAAAAAGTGTTTTCTTACCCGGCCTCCTTTTCCTCTCCTCATGCTCCACTTGCTCCAATAGAGAAAAGATGAAAACCAACACTGTGGGCTTTGTTCTACTGCAGAAACCAGCAGCATTAAAGTTGCATGGATCTTCACACACACTCTCCCTCTGGTACCTGTTGAAACTGGGCACTACTTCCCAAACGTATCGCTTTATGTTTAGGATACAGAATAAGATGATTATTGGGTCAAGTCAAGTTGGTTCATTACAATCAATGTGTAGGTATTCACCAGACAGATGGTGTATTACTCTACCAGAAACATGTCAATATTGTACACAAACATCTTAAAAACTCTCATCATTTCACCTTAGAAATCTATCGTTCTCTTTTTTTCCCCATCCACAGTTTTGATTTATTCCACCATGCATGTTTGGATTGCTGTGTTTTGTTATTTTAGTTTGGGCTGGAGAAAACCAGTAGAAAAACCCTCCCTAAACACATCAGTGAGAACATCTATACAGCCAGATGTGTCTGCATCCAAGTCATTTAACATCCTCTTAAAAGCATCGAATGAGACCGGCTCGTTAAGTTTCAGCTCTTTTTGTAATTTGTTCCAAGTAAAGGAAGCCGCAGTAAGAAAAGGTCCTGAGATAGAAGATGTTTTAGTCCCTGTACTCTTGATACAGGTATGAAGGAAGTAGACCTAAGATAGACTTGTAGATAAGCGTATGCCCATGTTTACTGTAAGTCTGTGTACTGTGTGGTGGAAGAAGTCCATCCAACACACAACAAACACATTTTAGGGAAAGTGGAGCAGCAGCAAATTCTTCATATCATATTTAAACACTACACAGTGTAAAGAAATACAAATAGTCAGAAGTTAACATTGGTAAGGATGCCATCATCATGAAACTAAGCTTTTGTTGAACATCATCCTGGAAGCTAATGTGTTACCAACATGCTAAGCTGCAATTTACATGGTACTTGTTTCTGTTTTTGGAATTCCCCCAGCAGATTTTACAGTAACATAATCCACTGTAAGGGTTACAGTCATTTTTAAAATACAGGCACATGGTATAACAGCACTTTGGTAATCCGGTAAGGAGCTTACTAGACAGAAACAATTCATTAGATTGGAGAAAAAAAGTAAATTGATCATCGTGTGGTAGATTTAAAAATGTGATAAAGCCGTCCTGCAGCCATTTGAATCCTCAGACATGCCAAGTCAACAAATTAACTGCAACAAAGTCCAACAGTTGGGTCGCCCTCAAGTCAACTTTTTCTGGATCAGGAAATGTCTACTGGAACACAGAGGGAAGACTACAGCTAACAGCCAACCAGCTCAAACATTCTGTGCATGCCGCAGAGGACATAACTCTCCACACAAGCAGGTGGCGTTGCCTGAATTTATCATTCAGAAAGGGAAACTAGAAGACCTTGAACTGCTTATTACAAACTGTTCATATGATACAGGAGCTTTTACCAGTTTTACATTGCTTACCTTTCAGATGGCTAAGTGATACTGAAAATAGAGAATATGGTTGATAAAATGCACTGAATCCAAAGCACTGTGATCAGCAGTTGGCGTTTTGCTCGCAGGAGAGGAAAAGAATCTGTGTCAGCAATCTTTCCTCATTTCTAATCATTTGTTCCTTTGTGCAGTCATAGAGTCAAACAGACTGATTTCTCTCTCTGTCACATTTTCGCTCTGATTTAATTTGCTCAGAGAGACAAAAGCTGTGAACAGAGCACAGCAAGTGTCAAAGGTGCTAGACGACCCAAAAACACTATACGACCCCATCCCAGAGATTCATCGCGATCCTAAGACCTTTTTTTTCCCCTCTAACGTATGACGCATTTTCACAGCTAGAATAAATATGTATCATGATCTATTATTTATTATCATGAGTCATATTTCCACTAAAAGAAGTGTGGCAAGCTTGTTTGCTTTGAGTAAATCCTTAATACTGATCCTTAAATCGTCTCAAAAATATAAGGAAAGAAAAAACACACAATTTATTTAAACCTGTTTTTAAAGATCTATGATGCTGATCCATATTTAAATACATACATATAATGTTTCGTATTGGGTGTCTATACTAAACCGTGGCAAAGGTTTTTAAGCATAAGCTACACAGTTGTTGATGTAATCCCGTTTACAATGAGACGTTACAAGAACTTTGCGAGACTTGGCCAGAAACTGACGCCAGTTGCAGGACATGAGGGTTTTAACTGACGCCAGAATACAAAAAATTAGGGTTTTTTTGAGCTACAAATCTCACAAAGCTACTCAATAGATGTCCCAAACTGACGTAATTCATGGTGAAAGTGAGTATAATAGATCTCCTTTAAGTATCAAATTTGTGACAAAAGTTATTTTGTTTTGTTTGAGTTTGAACCCCTGAACATCGTGAAAGTATAGACCATTAGATTAACTCTGTCTCTTAAAATCAGTTTATTTTCCTTGGTGTTAATGAGAAATCAATAAAAACAACGCTCCTGATGAGACAGAATTAATTATGTAAATTAGAAAATCTGTAGATGTCTTGGGCAACAGTACTCCCAGGGGCTCAATGCTGCTTTACAGATTTTATATTTGTGTTTTGTATAATGATACAGTGCTTCTAGTACTGTATCACTGTGAGTGAAGGGATATCTTCACTCACTGCCTCCAGTGAAATGTATTTTGAAGTTATTAATTCAAACGTGACATATAATAAGGTTTACAGCAGAACGATCGCTCTGCTAATCTCATCCAGCATGAGGGTGAAACTGGGAAATAAAGAATATGCATTGTTAAGTATAGACACATCTAGGGAGGCTGGTAAGTGGCTGCATGACGAACTGAACCGTTGGGAGTTCGCCCTGGGAATAAAAAAAAATAATCTGCAGTAAGCAGAAACAGAACAGAAGAAAAGGTACATCCGGATGTAATTTTATTTTTGGGCAAGGTGACTTGTTCTCACTTGTTGCCTTCTTCTCCTGCATGGATATGGGGAGCCTGTGCTCAAGAATAAAATGATTGTAAAATTACATTTCAGGAGCACGATATATTCCAGGAGGACGATGTTTATTAAGGCTCTCAAGTGTGTTTGCAAACTCCCCTTGGCACCCAATCACTGCACAGAGAGAAAAGGATGCTTGGGACACGTCCTTAGTTTGTCCCCACAGGTTGGTGTTCAGGTGTCCCAGAAGCACACTTTATCTGTTTTTCTGTTGCCTATAAAAGGCTTCGCCCCCGCGGGTGCATTTGTGTTGATTATGTACATTGTGAGGGATTAATATGGGAAACAGGATTAAGAAGACATCAGAAACCCAATTAAAGTAGCCCTTCATCTCTGCTGGCGGGGTGTGTGTGTCTGTCTTTCACAGTGGGAGATCCCTCCTCCTGTCCACTCATCAGCCTCTGC